AGCTAGACCTAATCAATTATTGATATAATAAAGGCAAATATTTAGAACATCATTAATACAACACCTTCATGACAGTCCAGCCCTCCAAATCTTGAAATAATAAATAACTGAATTCACTTCAATGATATATTTTGATCTTCATTCATTATTATTATTATTATCATTTACTTTTTATTATTTATTTATTTATTTATTTTTATTTTTATTTTTATTATTATTATTATTATTATTATTATTATTATTATTATTATTATTATTATTATTATACATATACATTTGCTCTACCACGATTTTACAATGGCATTGAGCACTGTTTCCCAAAAAAATGAGAGATTTTTTCTTTATATTTATATTATTATTATTATTATTATTATTATTATTATTGTTATTATTATGTCTTTGCCATTAACATTATCATTGTTTCTCTGTTAGGCATCTTGTACAGGGACATGTTTTGCCTAACCAGTCTCATTACGTTTTGAGTGAAATAAATTTATGAATTATGAATTACACCAATGTCATCTATCGATAAAAACATCGATTCGATTAATTAACAGCAGCCTTTCGCACTGTGACAGTGCCGATAGAAAACAGCAACTTTTTGGCATGCGGCAGTGCCGATAGAAAACGGCAGCTTTTTGGCACTGCGGCAGTGCCGATAGAAAACAGCAGCTTTTTTGGCACTGCGGCAGTGCCAAATCGGCACTGCGGCAGTGCCGATAGCCACTACCGTATATACCTGTAAGGAGTGACAATAATTGTAAAGGTATACATTTACCATGTAACCCTCTTCAGTGTGAAGCTCGTATTGCGCAGCTTGATGATGACACGTTTGTATTCGTTAGGAATGAAAACAGTCTTACAGCTGTATTAAAGGTTATAGATAAAAAATATCTGGTTTAAGTCTTAATAAGCAAAAAAACAAGAGCCATGTGGCTAGGGAAATGGAAAAGTCGTAAAGATAAACCACGGATTGTGTTGGAGTAGTGAACCAATACAAATATTAGGCATTTATATCGGTTATGACAATATCAAAAGTGAAAATTTAAATTGGAATAATAAATTACTTAGTTTTGAAAAAATATTAAACGTTTGGAAATGTAGAACATTATCATTTATGGGAAAAAACACTATTTTAAAAAGTCTAGGACTCTCAAAGCTGTTGTATAATGCATCAATAATTAAAACCAAAGAATTTGTTGAAAATAAAGTTAAAACTCTCATAAGTCAATTTATTTGGGATGGAAAGTAAGAAAAAATCGAAAGAAAAACAATGATTGGTTTACCTAAAAATGGTGGAATAAAAATGCCTGACTTTCGTTTACAATGTAAAGCCCTGAAAAAATGCTGGGCGAGAAAACTTCTTGAAAAAGATAATGCGAAGTGAAAAATACTTCCATTATACTATTTCAATAAGATTTGTACAGTAGATGTTATCTTTACTATGTCAAACGTTAAAATAAGACAACATTCTTTGGTTAAGATTCTTCCTTCCTTTTATAAAAATGTACTCAAGGCTACTGCCGAATATAATGCTTGTAATATTAAAGAAGTTGTCAATTACACAATGATGTTATAGAACAGAACCTTTAGGGAAATAAGTTTATACATTTAAACCAGCAGTTATTTTTATATAAAAAACAGGATTGCATCTGGTTTTGTCAAAATAAAAGATATTATCAATAACAATAGAATGATGACGTCCAAGGAAATCTTAAGAAAACTAAAACA